CTGAGCACATTGCTTTTAATAATGAGTCACTATCATATTGAGTCACTCCTTCCAGCAGCAAAATCCTATTGATATCTCAATATTTTCATGCTGAACATATTAACAAAGGAAAAAGTGTCATTGTGATTACATCAGAGACCATTTCTAGTTACTTGCTGCGCAGCTCTCAGAGAGGTCAGAAGGTCGGTCACAAGTTTCACACTTGCAATCTTGCTTTCATCCCCAGCTGCTAACACTGCAAGTTTATATGGCTGCTTCATCACATTGTTTAAAAAAATAACCTTACTTAGCAAAGTTTAAAAAAACCTCCGAAGGTTGAAGAAATCAACAAAGATGTTGGTCCTGTGAGTTTCTGCGTAAGTCGCAAGCATGTGTATAATCTCACTGATAACCTTCTAGACCTCAGAGGTTCCTAGCATCTCTGAATTTCAGGAGACCAATTTCTTTAGGCAGAAAAGTTTATCTTAAATTCAGAGATTACCTCAAAGCCCCCAGACAACCCCCAAATCCACAGCAGTGAAGACAAATGGAAGACAGGAAGAAACTTCATGAGGAGGGATCTCTGGCTCGCTCGCATGCACAGAACAGTTATCACAGTACACAGACAGGGAAAAGATGTAGAGGGCATGAAATATGCCATCCCAGGACAGTCAGGCAGGTGGGGACTACAGGGATCTCCATTTTTTTCACTCAAGAGTGAAGTGTGGGGAGCAGAGGACAAGCCTCTTGCCTGATCCAAGGTCCTCCCCCCTTCATTTCGTCACTAAAAGGCACAGGGAGATAACCAATAAAGGCTATTTGCTTTTCATTGAGCAAGAGGCTGCAACTTCATTTCAGAGCAGCAGGTACTCTGGATGCCTTGGCAATTCTTGGTTAATGTAGAGCATAAAGTACTTGCCAGCTAACTGATAACAGCATCCTGGTCCAAACCAACCGTAAAACAGTCCTTGACTAAGGTCCATACGGCGTGCCCTGGGACACACTCTCTAAAACAGGAATCCTGCATACCCTTCAGTTTGTTAAACCCCAAGAAGCTGACATTTGTGGCTCCAAGTCGCCTCATCCTCTGCCAGTAAAACTGAATTCCTCACTTGGCAGGATGAGGAAATACAGCAGGAATACAGTTTCACCCAAATTGAAATTTTTGAGGTGGATTAAGTGAGCCACTAAATAGCTGTTTTGGTAGCAGGCTGAATTTTTTTCTGGTCCTTGCTTACCAGGTCCACACAAAATATTTGGAAGAACTGCTTGCTTTGTTCAAGAAGATAAAAAACACTTCTGGAAAGGAAAAGCCAGTGGAGCATACCTGTCATCACAGTAGGTGAATTTCATGTCCATGCTGTGGCGACTCAGGAAGGTCTTGCTGTCCAGGGGAATATCGATGTTTGAAGGGTGCTGAATAGGCTCACACATTATTATAAGGCAGGTGAGAAGAGGCTCCTTATACCCACACAGAGTGTGAGGAGGGCAAGTGTTATACACTTTAACTTGTCCAGTGCAGTGCAAAACCTGAAATAAGAAGAAACAAACTTAGGCTGTACTTTCTCTCCACATCAAAATGTCTATTAATATAAAACCCACTTAATTTGGCTCAAATATTGTACCTTCCACGTGGCAGACTTGAGGTTAACAGTTCTGCCTCTGTTGGTAACAGTGCATTTCATCCTCATGAAGAAGTCACGCTCAGTTGACATCTCTTTGCTTTTCTTTCCAAAGCCTGGACCTGTATAAGGAAAAGGCAAATTAATTTTCTCATTTTCCTTTTTGATTTCTTCTACTTATAAGCATGAAGGATTCAACAGAAATAACAGACTAATTCTCAGATAATTTACTTGCAGAGACCATCAAAGATGCATGGACCATTGCAGAGCAGTTTGTAGTGCTCAGACCTAAAACTTTAAGTGGAACCTTAATAGGACTTTGTGCATTTTAAACCTATGTTTTAGCTTGCAGCACATTAATCTTTCCACTGTGTTACAGCTGAAAACATTAGACCTGTCTAAACTTGATGAGGGAAAATACTAAACAAACACTTGGTACTATCATATTTAAGCAATATTTGGCAAAACAAAATGAATCTGCAAAGCACTGAGCAGCAGTTAATGATTACTCTAGGAATGAAAATTCCTTTTTTCATGACAAACAGATCTCTTTTGCTAGCCATTTACTTCATTTGGTTATTTCAGAAACAAACAGGGATTTTTGTATTTTCATTATTACCATTTTTCAGACTCAGATTCTCTCGAATTTCTTCATGGTCACATGGATGAGTGAAGTCAAAAATGCTGTGTCCAGTGAGTTCCACCTGTGTGGAAGTAAGAGCTACACATAGCAAATCGAAGCAACTGAAAGTATTTCTCTGTTATTAAAGACAATTGAAATAAAACTGGTCACTAGAACTAAGTGCATTGACAGGATGCTCACAGACACAAATCCCACAACCCTCCCTTTGTTTATCCTATGCATAACTCCTCATTTTCTCCCCAGAGTGATTCTCTTATCTTTGAATTTGCACAGCACAGTTAACAGTCAGCACCTCTTGTTATTTTCGACACAGGACAAAACTCCCAGTCCACAAAGCAGAAAAGGGGGGGACCAAAAAGAGCAGCTCTATCCCCTTTGTCTTATAGTCTTAAGGCACAAGTAGAATAATGCCTTCTCATCTCCCTAGTAAGATGTAGGAAGGCAACTTTGCAGTCATCAAAGACACTACAATTAGATAGGAAGGAGAGGGAACCTGCAACCCATGTTGTCTGCTGTGCAGGGTACCTGCCTGAGAAATAAGACATTTTATTTCCAGTCTTTCTTGCAGCGACACACAGCTGGGTTACTGCATTTAGACATAAGAGTTGTTTCTATGACTGTATTCCAAAGAGAGGAAAGTGTAAGGGAACAAGTTACCTGGGTAAGACCCATATATTTATTGACGTTCTCTGACAAAAAGATCATGTCTCCATCCTGTGTCACCACAGCAATAAATCCCTCCAAAGCTTTCAGGTACAAGTTGTCCATCTGCTGGTCCGCCTCTAGGTCATTCTCATTGTCAGCACATACTGAGAAAAAGAAAGAAAAAAAAGCATTTAAAGCCTTCAGCACCCCAGCCAGCCTTTTTCAATGCAAGCACATCCAGTTACAAGGAGACAAAATATTTTTCTGCTGTTAAAATTTCCTTTCAACAAACCTCTTCTGGTGGGGCCTTCAGAACAGCATATGAAAAGGATGCCCTTATCACTAGAAAGGCAGGGGATACTTTTCTAAATGTTTTGGCAAATGCAAGACCCTCTCTTCATCTTTAGCATGTTTCTGCAAGACTGCAAGACGTGTTTTCTTTCACTCACACCTGAAGATGCATCTTCTTTGTGCACATTCTCTGGTGGCTTGCAACATTTATACCACCTAACAGGCACAAGGTAGAGGGCAAGTCTTACAAAAGGTACATAAATCTCTGCATCCCTAACAAACACCTAACAGGACTCTTCCATTAGGTCAAGCTTTCTAAGAAGTTCAAATACAGCTCCTACAAAACATGCCTCTTTACTCAGTACAGACTTATCTCTTAACACTACTTTGGATAGAAAAAGTAGAAAACTGCTCCCTTGAAGTAATTCTGGGTGAATCTCTTTGTCATCCCTTAAATCTTAGTATTCCTCAGAAAACCACAGATCTGTTTCACTGATACCTGCAAACCTCAGGACTTCCTATACTCCACTCCACCAAAGTCTGACAAGTTTCATCACTCATCCACACTTCCCCTGTCCTGCAAGGAGAGCCTCAGACTCTGCTTATGTCCTAGATGTTTGCCTATGCAGATTCATGAACCCAGCGCACCTTATTAATTTCTGGGAAAGACATGCCACTGTTCAGCTGAAACCTAAGGCCATGATAGAATATTTATTACAGCTGTTTTTCTTTTGGTTATACATTTTCCTGGTACCTTTTGGCTGCAGTGTAGCGACAATCAATGGCACCGTGATGCCCTCGTTGTGTGGCCCATCCTGTGCCATGGGAGGCAGCACATGGCAAAACTGTAGGCAGGGGGGAAGGGGCAGACACTGCTCCTCCTGATGCCAGTCACACAAATGCCCATTTCCCTTCTATGCTTTTAAGCATGTCTCAGCTCCATGAATAAGAAGCTGTCAGGGAATGACATACAGATATCCAGTATTGAAAAATTTCTGTGTAGAAGCTGGCCCATTAATTTCTTGATATGTTTTATGTGAAACTTCTGGAATTATATTTTACAAAACCACTTACAGCAGATAATGTATCTGGTCTGTGTAGCTCAGACATGCTGTGGTGAGCTTATCTTTACAGTTTTGTCAGTTAGCCTGCACATTTGTGATCAGTCATTGCAAATGTCATAGTAAGGCCCAGATTTTGAAGGGAAAAAGCAAGTAAACGAAGAAAAAAACCCCACCTTATTGTCTCAGAATAAGGAATAGCCAACTCCAAGATCTGGGGCCATGGGTAAGTCCCATCTAGACTGAAGGTGCCCTAGAGCCCACGGCAGCAAGGATGAGAGAAGAGCTGAAGTGATTCTGCTTTCTGTGCTCCTTCCTGGTGGCACAAGAGTGCTCCAGGCTGGGCCCACCACCAATCTTGCTGTCCAGAGGCTTCAACCATAGCTACATCAGCTTTACTTGCAAGAACAGTGGGACACAAATTCCTTGGAGAAGCTGCCTTCCTTTGATGGTTTAATGTTGCAATTTCAGCTTACAGTTTGTTCTGTAGTACACATACTGTTAGCACTTGAGAAGAGTTATTAATTTTTGTTCTTTTCCTCAAAGAAACAGCACATTGATCATATTCCTTCATGTTTCTTGTTGAAATACTCATTTTGCAAGAAGTCTAGAAGCAGGAATAGAGCATTGCTTTGTAAAACATTACATGATTTGGGATTGTTGTTTTTTTGAATAGGGAAGAGGCTGAGCCAAACTAATGCAGTTTTTACTTTGAAGCACTAATGAGTGATGATTAAAGGATAAGTTTAATCTGTACAGCTCCTGGAACTGCTTCTGCTAGTGCCTGAGGATGGACTGCAAGCAAACCAAGAGGGATGAGCAGTCACAATGCAGAGCCCAGCAAGCACTGTTTGGAACAGGTAAGTGGTAACAAAAACTACGCTTGCTGCTGCTGCATCCTCCTGTTCCTCAACATCCCTCCCTGGCAACAGCCATCACACATCATGCAAACCAGGGAAGAAATGGACTCAGCCCCAGAGCTATGGGGAGCACCTAGTTTATCACCCTTTGCCTCTCAACAAGACTGGTAGCAGGGAAGAGAGGACGCTCTCTGGGGATGGCCAGCACCGGCTGGGGATTTATCATTTCACGTCCTCGCACTGCAATTCTGGCTACACATGCAGGGGCCAGTTCCTCCTCAGTACAAAGCAAATGACTTCAGGAAATTGCATCAGGACTAGCATTTAAAATACAGAAAATATACAATAATATATTTGAATAGTACGCACTTTGACCAAAATGACATTTAGGAAAGGAAAAAGAAAAAAAAAAAAAGAGGTAAGTGACCATCTGCTCCCAAGCTTGTTTCTGCTGCATAAAGAATGTCAAGGGTCTTTTTTCACTTTTCCGGAAGCAAACAAATGGTTTATTCAGCAGGGATCATGGCTATTGCCCAAGACAATCAGCCAAGTGTGGGTTCAGAGAAAAAATGACTTTTCAGCTCTAACCCCAGACCCTCCTTTCCATTTTTTTTTTCCCAGCTCATTAAGTTTGCATTAACAAAACATGACCATTCAAAGGCAGGAAGGCTATTCAAAGCATTTGTATTCTTAAATGCCTCCAACAGTGAGAGACAAACACTTTACTTGTATTATCAGATGATTAAGTTTGCTTTTCCCTGTATATAAATTATATTACTTATACAAACACACACAGAGGACATGGATCACTCACATCAGGGCTGCAGGTTCAAACCCTTAAGGTCCGAGCTGAGCACGGCACTTAAAGATATAGTCAGCTTTAAAGCATGTGGTTACAGTGGTTTGTGGGATCAGAGTACACTGTTTTTATAAAAATTATCTTTTTCCAGCTGGAGGCATCTGTGATGTGGACATAGAGGAGGGAGAGAAGATTGATTGTGCTGCTGCACACCCAGTCTAACCTATCCCAAAAGCATGACCAAGGTGTTTTGCAGACATGCTCCAGCCTCCCTGGTAACTCAATAAACCCCACTGCACCCCCTCCTTTCTCCTCAGCAGCCTAGCTGCAGCAGGAAAGAAAGGGGAGCTGGCAGATACGGGTTTCTTCTAGTACCTAATAGGGCATGCTCACGTTTCAAAGGTGAGGAAACTGCAGGTGCTATCAGGCACATAAAGGTGGGTGCCAAGTACCTCCAGAGCCACTCTGCTGCTGCTGCCCATCTATTCCTTGCCTGTCCCCACGGCAGCCTACCCAGAGCAGCTCCAGCACTGGGGGACACACCAAAGGTGCTCATGTCTTTGACTGTTTCCAGGTTCTTTGCAAACACAGAAGGTGTCATGTGTGTTAACTCTCTGAAGCAGATCAGCTACCTGAGGATCCTAAGTCTGCAGCAAAGAAATATGCTGGGCTGCACTGGCGGCCCTGGTATGCCCTGTATCAGGTAACTTGGTATAATTATAGTAATATAAATAATAAATAGGAGTCCTTCCTATGGCTGCGGTGTCTGCATTAGTGCATGTTGCCTTTCTTCTGTGGAAAACACTAGCTACTAATACACAGAGGATATATACACTTTAGGAGAGTGATACATCAGAAGCAGTTCAGTCATTTACACTAGCAAAAATCTGGTTTGCTTGAGAAAGAATCTATTTTGCTGATGCAAAACAAATAATGGCATGGCTACTGCAAGCTCCTCCCTGAAATCCCCACTGTGTTCCACTTTGCTTTAAATTGTCTTCATTGATTTACCTTGGTGCCAAACTGGAGCATTAGTGTAAGAAAATTCAGCTTCAGATGGAAAATATTTGAGAAGGCTGGGACCAAAGGGAAGGGGGAAGTTAGCATGAGGAGGTGAGAATAGAACTTCAGCCTTGGGTTTCCAATAGGTCTGAGGTCACTTTATCCAGAGAACAGTGCCTCATGTAGACTTGCCAGGTTTTGGCAGGTATTTGATAAGGGTAACAGTGGGACTCAGTTTATATTGATTTTTAGGGGATTTTTTTTTTGTTTGATTGTTTTTTTGTTAGCATTGCATTTCAAAATAGCTGCTATCTAAATTTTGAAATAAGGATGTGTTTCTGTTTTTTTTCCTACAACATTTTCCACCTGCCCTCAAGGGGAGTATCTCAGTTCTGGCACCATGACAGTATAGCAGGGAGACTGGACTGCAAATATGGCAGTTTAAATTAACAGCACATTCAGCAGAGTGAAGTGCTGTAATGTTGCTGTTCATATTATAGCTACTTGATGGAGTCCAGCCAAGACTGTGTTCATGTAATGCTGGAAAGCCTATACAGGAGGAGAATCCCTGTCTAGGGGAGACTGGGAGATGTTGAAACATGTCAAAAAGCCTCGTAAAACAACCGCTGTGGCCTTCCTGGGATGACTGTCAGAGTTACAGGGGAACCAGGAACAGAGCAATGGTGTCCCATGTCCCAACATTTGATGCGTCATCCACTGCTCACTTTGCCCCAAGGCAGAAATTCTTGAATTTTGATACAGTATTTTTCAGTCCATGTCTCAGTCTGTATTAAATTTTGGTAAGTATTTATTTTGACTAATTTTCTAAACACCAAATAGAATTTATTCATTGACAAGAAACTTTGAACTGTAATGGCAAAGGCTTATTGCAGTATTTATGATAACCTTTTATGCTAAAAATAACTTCTGTAAACAAGCTTTGATTAATTCTCACTGTCAGGATGTGCACTGTTCCCAAGTTTAAGAACACTTTTTCCGTAGATGCTTGCTCATTTCCTTCAGTCCAACCTCTTGGAACGAGTCTGAAGGCTCAAAAATCAGGCTTCTCCGTAAAAGAAATAACTGTGCAGGTATAAACAACCTCCTAGCAAACAGCCTGTAACTCCTCTCAACACCTTTGATCTGACTCAAAGGGGTCTTTCTGGTCAGTTCAGAGGTGAACTGAAAATTATAAAATGTGTTTCTACTGGAGGTCACATCATCACCTGCACAGAATTTTCCTGGCTTTGTCTCACCCTGGTTCCTATAAGTACCAGTAAGTTGCTTACATATTGTATATAACTGATACCAGGCTACAGCTGCCACTCCAGAGAAGGGTTGCAAAACCTGCCTGATGCCAGCAGGCAAAAGTTAGAGAAGATCTAACAGCAGCTTCATCCTCCATCAGAGAGAGCAGCTTTGAGACAGACTTGTCTCTTCCTGGTTTCTTGTTTTCCATCAAAGGAAAGTGGTATTTTCCCCCTCCCTTTTTCTGTCTTGATGGGGCAGTACATCCTGTTCAAGGGGATATTTTCAATGTGTTCAATAAAAGCTTTCCATTTAGATAGATCAAGAAAAAGCTACTCTTAAACTTGAAGCTTCCTGAAGGGCTCTTATCTCCAAGTGCACAAGCAATCTTGGATAAAGAAAACACTGATGTTAGTGTTGTTTTGATTGCAGAGTTTGTATCTAGCCAAATCATTCAGATGCTGCTCCCAGGAACTTGCTTGGAGTCCTGCAGCCATTGGTGTTGAATGTTGGGAATACAGCACCCCATCAAATGATAGATAGGCTTTGAGTCCCATTTGGGTGCACCTTTCCCTGAAAGGGGACATAACTTTGAGCAGCTGAAGGACTCAGCACCCGACTCACTCTCATTCCTAGCAGCACTGTTGGCATAAAATTACTATTTTTCCAACGCAATAAAAGCAATCAAGTAGACATGCTATTTTTAAAGCACTGTTTTATGCCACAATGGTCTGACATTAGATGCGCTTGTCCAGACATTCAAAAACAATGCCCACATCAGTTCTCCCTGCAGTCTGTCCTCTCCCTTAAAAGCCTAGAGAAAAGCTATTTTTTCCCCTTCTGCTCCCTGCTGGCTTTCCGGCTCTGTTGTCTCCCTCCCTTGAAACCTTCACACTGGCTTCCTTGTGGCCTCCCTTCTCCCAAACAACTTCCTGTCTGTATCCCTGTTCCCTCCCCATTTCTGCTGCTGTCTGCCTGCACAAGAACAACTCCCAGCCAGTTTCCTTTGCGGGATTTCTGCACAGAAAAGACGCCCGGGTGACCACACAATTGGGATGGGATTAAGGCAAGCCAAGAAAATTGTGTTTGCCTGATTAAAAAGTTCATCATCCTGGCAAAGAGAAATTCACTGTACTAAAGAGTTTTGGTTCCTGTAACACCTTTAGCATCAGCATGGTTCAAATAAACACTTAAAATTGTTGACAGTGTGCATACAGTCTTCCTGAAGTGGACTCTCCTCCTCATATACAGACAAAAGGAGAATATTGAGGCAGCCTTAGCAACTACCACAATGTTAGCTGTTTACCAAGGCAGCCATTCTTTAGCAAAAGCCATTATTTCTCTTTTGCCATCTATTAGCTCCCCAAAAAGCATTAGCCTTACTTACTAGCTATACTAGAAAATAATATGGGAAAAGTACTGCTAACAGTTTTTCTGACCACACTAAAGGACATAAGGTCCCAAATCCAAAAACTCCACTACTGATAAGCATCAGAATGCCTATTTTCAGCAGCAACTTTATGGGATCAAAACCTTTACTTGAACAAAGATCAGTTCTAAATTTATCCCAAACATTTGAATGTGACGATGGTAAAAATGTATTATGCCAACAGAATTAATAGACATCTTGAAAAATATTTAAGATGATCACAATTAAACATTTCTACTTAGCATTCCAATTATACCATGTACTGTTCTGTGCACAACATGGAAACAGTATTATAAAGCTATTGTTTCAGTTTGCTTCCTGAGATACTAATCTCAATCAGGCCGTCAGACGAACAGCCTGCATTTCTAAATGTTAAAGGCTTCCTCTCCAACATTCCCACACAGAATTGCCTACTGTGAAAATCAAAGGGAAACGTGTTACTAAGTAAAGCAGCAACTTTTATAAAGCTAAACCTGGTATTTTTTACCCTTTTGAACTCTGAGATATACAACCAGCTATTTCCTATTATGATAGGATACAAGGGCCCTGCAACGCCTGCAGGAGACGTGCACTCTGCAGTCCAGAAGTCGGGATTTTCTGAGGCACGTAGCGGGAGAGCTTTCAATGAGGGCTCAGATTCAGGGGTTCTGCCATTCACCTGCTGAAAGAATGTGGGCATACATTTCCCTAGGTCTTGGCTTCCCAACAGATAAATGATCATTATGCAGATACAGCTAATAAAACAGCCCAAATTACACAAATGAAAAGCCCTATTCTGACTCAGGGAATAATAGCAAAGGGCATGAGACACTCAATGCCAGCGGAGTGAGACTGGCAAGTTGCCTACAGTCATCTCCAAAATCCCACCTGGAGCATCAGCTTGCAGAAAGATGAGGGTACAGTCCTGGGAGAGGCCTTGTTCTCTCTGCTTCAGGCAAAATTGCCTTACAACAGAGATGTGTTTGAGCATTGTGCCCACAAACAGTAACACAAAATAAAATATGCTGTGCTAGTAGGTTTTGATAGACTAAATTAGAAACAAAATAAATGGTAATCAAGCAGTAGTTTCATCTCTATCCCATTTTGAAGCTTTTTTCAAGCTGCAGCAAATGTTATTTCAACGTCCAAATTACTGACATAACAAATACACTCACTTAACTCCAGTTTACAGTAGGTGTCCAGCCCAAATAATCCAAACCATTTCCATAAAGACAACATAAAGCAAATAGGGGTTTGCAGGCTGGGGTGGGCATTTGATTCTATGCACTTCCACCTGTCCATTTCCCATTTCATCCATCAAGAGATGATACAGTGTTCCCTATGCTTCCTATCAGTCAAATCAGATTTCTCAAATGCAACAGTATGTTTATGGTCAAATTCCAGGCTGCCAAACACGCATGTGAAATCTTTGCTGCAGCTTTGCTTGGGGCTCAGAAAGGGTCCAAAGCAGAAGCAAGAACAGAACAAGTACAAACATCACCCAAGCCCGTTTTCCATCTTGCTTCACACTTGTCAAAACAGGATAAGCAGCAAACCTCTTGATCTGTGAGTCACTAGCTGCATCAAAAACCTACCACTCTGAATTAAACTGGACAGCCTTCTAGTGTAAGCCAGTGTCCTTACAAAGATTGACATTATTCAGAGGTACACGAAGATAGGAAATTTAATTTATATGTTAGCTATACTCAGAATAGTAGATGAGAAGCAGTCAAGGTTTTCTGACTTGAGTTCTTTAATTATAATATGTTTTCATTATTGGAAAATAATACCCAAAATTTCCAGAAAATCCATCCTTTTAAAGTACCTTAAGTTCAATTCCTCAGAATAGAAGCATCTAAGATTTTGAAACCCTTATCTACACCTCTGGCGCCTAAAGATGCAGCCATGGACAAATCTGCATTTGGCTAACAACACAAATTTTAATGAGAGGATTTACTCCAAGTTAATATTTGGACTGAGGAAGTGAGTCCATCAGATTTCAGGCTAAGCAAATAACTAATATACAGAAAGCATGAAATATTAAA